AACTGCTCCTGTCTGTGCTCCTGCCCTCTGAAGATGCCGGTCACAGATGCTGGCGAAATGTTAGGAAACAAAATTTCCAGAACACGGCTACACAGCCCGGAAGACCCACACCAGCCATCGTATTCCGGCCGTGAAAGCCTTTGACAATACATTACTGTATTGCTCCCAGGAAAATCATAGGAACACGTCCATGAAGTCACCAGAGTCCACCTCGACTTGAGGGAGGCTTAACCTAATTCCATAAGACCTGGGCTATTTATTAGTCTGTAAGGTGCTCCAAACTTGCTTCCTCCACCCCACCCCATCACAACCTACCTCTCTGAAAACAAATGGGAATACTTTTCTACCATTTTCAGGAAACACATGCTTTGCCTTCTAACTTTCTGGGTCACATGAACACAAAGGTGAATGAAGCATGGAAAAGGAGTGTGATCTGTTACAGTGGACTTTGCAAATGAACCTGGGTGCTTAACTGATCCAGAAATACTGTACAGTATATGTTAGCTCATCGGTCTGTCTTGCCTTATTCAATTTTTGGGGGGGAGGGGGAGCTATTTCTATTTGAATAGAACAGCATTTGCAATCTGTCCCACTTGCCATAACTCAAGACTTGGCTAATGAGAAAAGAGCTTGCCTTTTTCAGACAGCAATTTCATACACACTTAACCGGAGTAAGTCTCATTCAGTGGGACTTATTCCCAAGAGAACAGCCATAGAATGGCATTGCAATTTCTGCCATTGATTTATCTATTTATTAATTAGCCCATTGTTAACGAGTTCCTGTGATGAAAGTATAACATTATTCGGGATCAAAGGCTATTCCCCTAGGAAAAACTAAGTAAAAGTTGTGTAACAGGATGAACTAGTTTAACCTGCCAATCCACTGGATCTACTTCCAACAGAAACAGACCTTTAATATATGAGCAAGGACAAGCAAAGTATAATGGTATTCCTACTTAATATATGTTCATATAATTCAGAATATAAACACTTATATTTGTAAATAAATGTATGTTTTGTCTACTAGATATTTTTTGCTTTGCCTTTATATTAATCTAAAGGCTTTTAGAAAGGAAGAAATACCCTCTCCCCTGGCTGTTTTAAAATTTATACTTTTGAAGTGACGCAAAAGAAAAAACACTGCAGAATAATTGGAAAGGTCTCTGAATTAAATAAAAACATTTAAACCTACATACCTCTTACTGCCAGCTATATCAGCTCTTTGGGAATGCCCATATAAAGACATTTCTTTATTCACATTCCCAGAGAGATGATACAATGAAAAATCTGAGTTAATGAAAAATCTAGTTAGGCTATTCCTATACATATACATAAAAGCCACTCACACAGCACTTCTGAGAACGAATCCCCCAAGCAAATTGCAGCATCATAAAAGCAAACAGAACTTTTGTTAATATACTTTCTTTCTAGCAATGGTGATCAAGATTTTCTCCTACAATACAGGCTGAAAGCCTGATCAATGCTCATTCTTCAGCCACAACCCCTCACCTCTTCACAGCATTCTCCAGCACCACCACCTGGAAATTGGTCAGCCATCCAACCTTACGTCACCCCTTTTGTCCTCTAAAAGAAGAGGAAAAAAGAAAAAGAAAAAAGAACTTGGGGAATGTGGGCTGCGGTAGTGGCAGCTAAGAAACCAGGAGTTTTACTTTCTCTTTGTATTTGGTCCACCATACCTATGCCTTATAACAAAGTGGGAGGAAGGGAGATGCTCAGGACTTTCAGAAGACTTTCCATCTTCCACCCATCCCTCACATATGAACAAGGGACATTCTAACCTAATGGTCAGGATATACAAGATATAGGATATATCTATCCCAGCGTTTCTCAACCTTGGGAATTTGAAGATGTGTGGACTTCAACTCCCAGAATTCCCCAGCCAGCATGCCAAGGTTGAGAAACACTGATCTATCCTATCAGATATGAGATATACCTAAAGGTATGTTTATAAGTCATAAAAACAGTCTGCAATAGGAGGAGCCTAAGAGATGGGTGTGCCTTCTGTTCACTGTTTAGGAGAAACTTCCTCCTAAGATATTGGAAGCTGGGGATTCCTGGGAAGATGCCGTATGGGGGTCTGGTACTTTGCCATTTGCATCCCCAGACCCCCCGGGAGTGGGGCCTGTCCCAGCCTCTCCACCAAGCAGTTGTTCTGTTTCCTCTTTTCCTCCTTTCCCATTGATGTCTTCCATGGCTATTGAAGACACCCTAGACTGACGCTTACCAAAGAAAGTGACGAGAGTCCCACGTCTGGCTTCCCCTTCCCCTACAGCCCCCGCCTCGTGTTCAACATCCTTATCCAAGCCTGAATCATCTGGTAATGCCGCTTGTCCAGCCCATTCTGGGGCATTGAAGTTGGTAGAGCCAGAGCGATGGCGATGCCTACAGTACAGAAAAGTAAGGAGGCCTGCAAGCAGCAGAAGAGAGAAGACAACAGCCAGAATGATGGCAGTGTGATTCTTCTTTGAAGTGCTTGGATCAGAAGAGCCGATTTCTGGTGCTTTGCTAACAGATGTCGTCGATGGGGTGGAAAGGTGAGGTGGATGGTAGCTGCCAGTCACAGGTGTTGGATTAAATTGTAAAATATCTGGACCTGACATTGTTATCTCTGTTTCTTCCTGCCTTGGTCCTGTGCTCTTTGATGGTGTTGGCTCAGGGGAGCTCTTTCCAAAATCCTTTGTTGGAGGGGATGCCTTCTGACCAACATTTGTATCAAAATCTGGTGTGACAGTCTTTTCGGAGGAAACATTCTTCGGGCCAAGACTTGTACTGGATTCTTGTACCACCACCGCTTCTACCTGATGGCTTTTTCCCATGGTAAAGGTGACATTACCTACGGTGGGGACGGCACTTTTATTCTGGGTTGATGTGTCTCCTGGGGTAGTCGTGTTTATTGCAGTGGGAGAATGTATGATTTTCTGTTTTGAAACTGGAAGTGTTGTCATGAGAGATGCTGTTTGATGCACTGTAGGTCTTATGCTAGGAGTGCTAGATGTGGTGGCTTCAGGAGGTGATTTAACAGATACTGTGGAAACGTTTGAAAAAACGGTAGGATTCGGAAATACCAAAGTTGGGGAGCTTTCATAAAAATGGCTTGACATTTCTGTGCTGGCGATCACAATTTCTGTGCTAACAGGCTGGATTGCAGTTTGTCCATCTACAAGAATATCTGTGTTAAAAAGTAGGAAGAAGACAAAGAGCATCTTGTAGCCAATTATTTCCTGGAACAAAGATCTTGATTTTTCCATAGCAGAAGAATTCCAGAGCCTGGGGCTCTCTTGGTGCAGAAT